ACAGTTTATCAACTGTTACAAGCCTTGGGTGATGCATCCGAAAAGTTACTGCATTATCCAAGGTCACCCAGGTCTTCTCTTACCTAATCTTCTAAGGGTTTTACAGTTTTATGTTTTATATTTAGGTATGTGATCTATTTTGAATTAGTTTTTATGATGGATGTAAGGTCTGTGTCTAGCTTTTTTTTTTTTTTTTTTGCATGTTGATGTCCACTTGTTCCAGTACAATTTTTTTGAAAGAGTATCTTTTTTCCATTGTATTGCCTTTGTTAATTTGTCCAATAGCAGTTAACTATATTTGTGTGGGTCTATTTCTAGGTTTTCTATTCTGTTCCACTGTTGAATTTGTATATTCTTTTGCCAACACTACACGGCTTTGTTTACTGTAGATTTTTTTAGAGAATTTTTAAAAAGATTTTATTTATTTATTTTTAGAGAGGGAAGGGAGGGAAGAAAGATAGAGAGAGAGAAACATCAATGTGCGGTTGCTGGGGGCCATGGCCTGTAACCCAGGCATGTGCTCTGATTGGGAATGGAACCTGCAATGCTTTGGTTCATAGCCCACGCTCAATCCACTGAGCTACGCCAGCCAGGGCTGTTTACTGTAGCTTTAAAATACCATATTTGCCATATATAATGCACACCCATATTTTTGGCCCACACTTTCAAGAAAAAATCTTTTGTTTTAATTTTTGCATTTTATTTATTTATTTATTTATATTTAGATACTTGCTTTTTGTATTATAAAGGAATTTTAGTATTTATTTTTTAACATATTATGATACAAGAAATTTTATGTAACAAATAATTACAAAACACAAGGATAGATACAAGGTATTTCAGGCACTACCCACATATAATGCTCATCCTTATTTCTCTCAAATATCTGAGCAAATAAAAAGTGTTCATTATACATGGCAAAATACAGTAAGTCTTGAAATTAAGAGCATTAGGACTCCAATTTTGTTCTTCAATATTGTATTGGCTATTTGGCATTTCTTGTCTCTCCACATAACTTTGGAATCCATTTGTTGATATCTACAAAGTGATTTGCTGTGATTTTGATTGGAATTGTGTTGAATCTGTAGATAAAGTTGGGAATAACTGACATGTTAACAATATTGAGTCTTTCCATTCATGAGCATTGAATATCTCTTTACTTATTTAGTTCTTTGATTTTTTCCATCAGAGTTTTGTAGTTTTTATATCTGGATCTTATACATATTTTGTTAAATTTATACATAAGTATTTCTTTTTGGGGGGTGCCTAGCTGATTTTTATGTAAAAATAAATTGCCAACGGATGTGAGAGTTAAGCATACAAAAACAGCAATAGAAGAATACACCATAATACAAACTGCAAAAGAGATGGATGACTGTCTTTACAATCTTTGCACTATCTAAGCCAGGTACTATTATTGCAAGTGCTTTATATATAATAACTAATTTAATCTTCACAACATTAAGAAATACATTATTATTATTATCATCAGTATTCTATAGATGATAAAACTGAAGTTAGATAGGTTAAGTGTCTTATTCAAGAATGTAGAGCTTGTAAGCAGAAGAGATAAGATTGGAACCTCAGCAGTCTGGCTCCAAAACCTGCACTCTGGAGAACTACACTGCGTCTATGCTGACCAAATAGATGCAGACCCCTCCCATACTCCCTGTGTATATATGTGCACAGATGATATTTAAGCTTCTGAGTTTAAAATATTGTACGAGAAGTAAAAATATATATAAAATACAAACCAGGAAGATATTTGTAACATATACTATAGACAAGGTACTGAATTTTTAAATATAGAACTAGATTGTAAATATCACTAAGAAATGGATAAAAGGAAATAAAGAAGGAAGAAAGAAAGTGAAAAAATAGTTCAATGAAGAGAAATACCAATGGCCAATAAGCTTATGCACAATGTCACTCATTTTAAAAAGTACAAGTTAAAACAATGATGAGCCATCATTTTTTACCTAGCATATTGTTAAGTATTGAAAAGTTTAGTAATACTCAGTGCTTTGACCAAGTTATTTAAAAAAAAAGACATTCACACCCTACTGTTGGAAGTATAAGTTGGTAGAACTTTCAAACAGTAATTTGTTTTTATTTTTTAAAGATTTTATGTATTTATTTTTAGAGAGAGGGGAAGGGAAGGAGAAAGAGAAGGAGACAGACATCAATGTGTGGTTGCCTCTCATGCACCCCCCACTGGGGACCTGGCTCAAAATTCAGGCATGTGCCCCAGCTGGGAATCGAACTGGCTACATTTTGGTTCACAGGCCTGCACTCAATCCACTGAGCTACACCAGCTGGGGCTTAAACAGTAATTTGGCAGCATCCATCAAAACATTTAATATACTTATCATTTGAGCCATTAATTCCACTGCTAGGTATTCATTCCATGGGGGTGTAAGTGGCATAAAAGACCTATGTTCACTGCATCAGTATTTACAGCAGTGCTATTTCAATATGGTCTGCCCAGTGATGACAATCCACCAGTTGCTTATTATTAGTCTGTGAGGAGTTAAAGGGCCAGAATGTAAATCAACTACACTTCTAAGAGCACTGTGAGTTCAAGCGATAATTTTTTGTTCATAGAAAGGCTTTATTGATTAAGAAAGCAGTATGTTGATTTATATTCTGGGACAAGCTGCTTATCTCAATGTGAAACAATTCTTTGGATAACATTAGATTATAATAACTAATAATTGGAAATGACTCAAAAGTCTATCAAGGGGGTATTTAGTAAATCATTTATAATAAATAAAAAATCCTATGTATTCATATAATAATGAAATCTACATATCTTTGTATATATGTACCATCTCTATATATACATGATAGAATGGAAAAATATTGTGAAGAATGATAAGTATAGTCAGAAGTGCAAGATGAAGAGTACAAGGTTGTATATGCACAGAGTTCCTGGAAGCGTACACAAGGTATTGTTAGCTATGGTTATCTCTGGGCTGGGAGGCTGGGATCCTGTAGACACAGGGCATGGGGCTTCTAATCTTGTGCTCTGCTGTACTGCCTACACTTTTCTGCAACTAGCATAAGTTAAATTTATACTTTTTAAAAGCAGAAATTAAAATTTAAAATTTTGTTTAAAAGTAATGAATACAAATCAAATTTCCAGAAACTGGCTTTGGGGTGAAATTTATTTTAGAAGACTTATTGAGACAATCTTTACATGAATTTCCGTGAAGTCATTTGTATAAAGATGTAAAAACACATGAGCTTGTTTTTCCAAACTCAGAAATCTGGTTTTCTCATCTTAAAAAAAAAAAACAGGCAATGTGCACACCTCCCAAACCAAATGTTTACTCCATCTCTAAGATGTGCTTCAAAGCTGGGAAGTTATGATTCTTTACCTGCAGTGTGACAATCAATCACCTAATTCTGATCACAATTGTTTCAAAGAAGTACAGGGCCAAAGATGCGTTGTGCTCAAAAGGTCCAAAATGATAGATCATAACATGTTTTTGACAAAATTGAGGGGTCCTATATGCTTCATGGAAACCACAATTTATATTGCCAGAAATTATGGCACATTAGACCTTTCAGAGCATCTGGAATACATTAATAATCGTTAACATTTGTATAGTACCATGCAGTGTGCAAAGAAGGGCTTTTATATCCGCTGTCTTACTTAATCTGCACAACAGATCTTTGGAGTAGGTAGATTTCATAGGTTCAATTTTACAGTTGCAAACTGCAGGTTTAGGAGACTTATGTTTATTCCCCAATGTCACTAAGGAGTGAAGAGTCAATGCCAGGCTGTGCCAGCTCAGTTCTGACCACAACTCCTTATTGCCTCCAAGACGTGGCCAACCTAAGCTGCCCCAGACAGAAGACCCTGGGTGACCTACTCTTATTCTCTGTTTATTTGCATGATGTTATGGCATTGAGCTAGATGAGTTTAAAAGCAGACCATAGCTGTTGCCACTGTTTGTTAAACATTGCTATTTGGAGTGGGCAGAGAATACAGACAGTGGCTTGAGTTCCTAGTCACCTTGCACAGGAAAATCAAGCAAGACCAAGAGAGGGAAAAGCAATTCTGGTTAATCCGAATAAAGGAAGCTTTGCACATGCTGGGCTTTCTATTGGAATGTTGTTCTTCTCTGTGTTCTGCTTTATACTTTTTTCCAGGAAGTTCGAACTAATAATACAATGATCTTCCTTGAAGGTCTAAACTGATACCCACTTTCACTGTTTCATTGCAGTCTCTCATGTCAGATATCTTTCCTTTCCCAAGGCTCTTCATTAAACTACCCATATCTCATGCCATTTATAGTTCTACTTTCTTTCACCTAAACTCTATATAGAGGGTTATAATTATGCGATGATAACTTCCATTTATTGAGCACCTATTAAAAAAATTTCAGGCACTGTGGCAGGCACTTTATAAACTATATATTATCTCTAAAGTTTGTGGCAAGTTTTACAAGGTTTACCTCATTCCTCTTACTTTGCAGGTAAAGAAACTGAAGTCAGGAGGGACCGACCCTGGGTTTCAACAGTAGTGAGAGGCGGTGCTGGGGTTCAAACGTAGATCTGTCTAGCTTTGAAGCCCAGGCTCCCTCCAGTACATAGCACCCAGAAACAATGCTTATTGTAGTAGCTACTGAAAGAAGGTATTTAGTGAAAATGTTCATTCTAAAGCAGTAATGTAGTTTAACAGTTAGAACCATACTCTCCTTTCCTTAGCTCTGAAAAGGTGGGTTGGTGGTCTAAGGTGATGAAATCAAACCCAGCACCAGTACAACACTCCCATATCACATCCCTTATGACCCCAGGGGAATCACAGCATATAATGGGCTCTTCTGTTTTACTTCTTTCTCCACCTGGTCAATTCTCAAAGGAAAACAAAATTCATAGGAGGTCTAGAAATTAACTTTTATTTCAAATCTGTCAAGAACTCCTGACAGTTATTAATTTTATTAAAATGACTACATATGGCAAAACAAAGCGTAGAGGTAATTCTATTTCTCTACAACATAAATTATGAGTTAGATTTTCAGCTGCTGGCTCAGCGTTGTTCAAGATTCTTTTAAAGGACTGGGGGGACTTTAGTTTCCAGAGAATGTTAAAGCAGCAAGAGAAAAAAAAATTAAAAATAATTACAATTGGAGATATTGCCAAGGATGTGCTAATTACAAAAACTTCTTGATGTGTTTATAGGCTAGACTCCAAATGTTTGTATTTTAAAAAAAATTATGTGAATAGCTGTCCTTTATTGGCTTGTCATCCATAGTTTACAACATAGAATAAATTTGTTGATTTTTTTAAATGGCAAAAATGAATTATGGCTAATTCAAATGAAAAACAACCAGCATCCATTCATCTAACAGGAATATGTCAAAATGAAACAATTTTATTAAAATATTTAATACCAGAATAACTTATAGTAGTATGAAAAAGAGTGAAGTACTTGTTTTTAGTTATCATTGATATGACCCCATTGTGGCAAAATTGTTTTACAAAGATGAAACAGTTTTTATTATTACGGATCTGTAAGTACTTAAGGATGTAAACTAAAAGACCATGTACTTCATCTGATCATACAGTCATAACTTACATATCTTGCTTTGCACTTACTGTTACTGCAAACAGCAATTTAGAAAACAAAGTAAAAATATATATATACAAAATATTTTTATATCAAATTATCTTAATTACACTAAATAAACCCAATTCCCAAATGCTATGTTACATGAAAAAGTGTCCTACAATTTATGTCAAGATTGATACTGTCCACATAACAACTAGAGCAGCCTTTGGTTTTAAAAGCATTTTGCAAAATAAAAAAAAATGTCACCAAATGGCTGCATTACTGGCTCTCATTCACACTCACAAAATGCTTTCCAGTTTTTTAAAAAATTACAAAATACATTACATACACAAAAAACTCATCCCTCATAAGAGGGTCAAATCCTTTTTATTTCTCTGTAGCACATAAACGCTGTTATATTTGGCATCTCCACTGCTTATTCAAGTTTCAAGTCTCCCCAAGCTGATTAGAATATGATTGTTTGACTGAAAAAAATAGTCTTCTTTCATGATATTGATTATTCTCACTCAATGATATCTTAATTTAGAAACAAAATGTTCTTTCTTTTAATGCACAATTTCACTTAATTTTTACTTTATATCCTACTTGGCATAATTCAGAGACTGTTCAATGTTTTGTTGTCCATATGTTTTAAATTTTAAAATCAATTTTATGTATGTATATGTATATTCACAGAGATACATTTCTTTCATTATCTTGTTCTCATTGCAAAATAAATTGCCCATCAGCAATTTAATTTGAAGTGAACCAAATAAAAGGTTTTTACCCATTCTTTATGAAAAACAATTTGCACCACAAAAATAACTGAACTTTAATGCAAACAAGGTTATGTTTTAAAACTAAACTATAAGTTTAGTTCTACAAAGGAAAATTTCCTGTTATCTATATGATAAACGTAATACTTCAGCAAAACTTGAGAAAAAGAAAATCCAAATTGATTCTGAAGGGCATTGTACTTTCCAGAAGTGCTTGGAAAGTTTTTCTGATCACAACGTAGTCATTGCGATTCTTCTTAAATATACACATTATGTGATCACTGCTCCTTTCATTTTGGAAGTTTGTAATGTATCAGATACGCAGGCAAGACGCATGCATAAAAGTCTCACTGTCTCTCTGAAAAGCACACTGAACAATTTTACATACGACAGACGTTTTTCTTAAAGGAAAATTTCATTTGGGCTGAAAGATTTCCAAATTTTAACATGTAACTTGTTGAATGTGTTTCAAGGGCTTTGGCAATTATGGTTTCAGTCCTGGACTGGTCAGGTCCATCTGGGATGACACACAGACTAGCAAGCATTACGGCGTTGTCATTTTGAGGCATAGCTGCTCTGCTGTGCCCACGTTGTAGCTTATTTTGGGGAAGCAAGGCACTTACTGTGATGGCAATGCAGACACTGTATGCATAGTTTGAGTAACATAAAATAAGTTAATATTTTAGATTAAAGTAAGTTTTTTTATAACTTATGTCTTTTACAGAAGCAACTGAATGATATATTCAGGATATTTAAAAATAAAGAGAGGTTTGAAAGGGAGTCATTTTCACTCTTGCTTCAGCTCTTAAGATGAGGACTTATGAAAAAACACTGGTGTGAAGGACAGCCATCGATCTGGAAAGCGACAAACTATTAAAACTGCTGCACCAGGGGCACCTTGACCGTCTTTACTTCCGCTATATGCGAAGACTTCTGGATGATGCAGCTGGTGGTTCCCTGCAGTTTGTCTTTTCCTTGTGCGAGATTCGTCAAGGCCATGGCCGCGTTGATCTCCTTCCAGTACGTGTCATCCTTGCTCGCTCCCTTTCTATTAGCTGCACTGAATTTAAGCAAAAGAGGGAAGAAAATGATCAAACTCACTGCATGTACATAAAAAATGGCACCAGTGAAAAGCACGAGTGGTGAATGGAAGCCCACTGCTCACCTGTCGCCCTTATGGGATCCATTTTCCAGAGTGTCTGTAAAGAAAAGCAAAAATTCAGTTACTTTTTTCCTTTCTTTGTAATCTCAGGAGCTGCATCATCAATTACCAGGAATAAAAGTTCTCCAGGCTCTGACCGGAGAGCTCAGTTGGTTAGAGCATCCTCCAGACACGCCAAGGTTGTGGGTTTGATCCCTGGTTGGGGCACATACAAGAATCAACAAGTGAGTGCATGAATGGGTGGAGAGACAAACTGATCTCTCTCAAAAAAATAAAAAATCAAAAAATTTAAGAAAAATTCATCAGTAAATGCAGACAACTGTAATTGAATAACAATAATTAAAAATAAAGAAAATACGCTGAAAATTAGTTTTCACACAAAGATAAAGTAGTTTAAGATGCAAAAAATATCTCTTTACAAAGAAGCAAGCATATGATGAAGACAAGTAATAAAGAATAAAAAGTAGCTTTCATAGATATACAAAAATCCGAGGTTAATTTATTCTGAGAAATTGAGCTTTCTCACAAGGAGGCAAATGAGATAGCCGGGTTGTGGTTCCGGTTCCACCCCACCACTAACCCGTGGTGTACCTCCGGCCAGAATATGGCTCCCCACCACATCTGGGGTGCAGTTTTCTCAACTATATAATGAGGATGTTCCTAGAAGATCTTCAGAGTGCCTCTGGCTCAATATTCTATGATTTCATGGGAATCAAACCCCCACCTCAGAAGAAGGACTGGCAACTAGTTCCCTCTGGCTGGGTAGCAAATGAGTAATAGACCCAATGCTGACAGCAACACAGGAGTCCCTGGAATATTAAAATAAGCAGGCACCAGTCTTCAGGCTGCAAAAGAACTTCTTTTCCTGCTGCTCCCTCACTCAGAACACTAATGTCAACCAGTACTACATCAATATAAAGAAAGACAAAATGGGTTCTTGGTCTTGATTAAATCTCTCTGGACAGTTCCTTTAGCTGAATGAATTGGGAACACAGAAGTGGACAGATAGAGGGAAAGAGGGGCTGCCAGCATGGCAGGGGGGTGGGGAATAAGAGTAGACCCGGGACTCCCCATCAGCCTGTGAGACCCCCAAACTAGATAGTGGTTAAGTCACCAGCATCACCCCCAACAAACATTACCGAATAGCTACAGAATGAGGTACACTGCCACACACAGGAAACCTGAAAAACTGTTTGCTCAAGGCTCTCCTTTCGCTCTGTGGCCTTTGGAAAGCTGTCTCTTCCTGCTCTCAGTCCTTTCCCGTTCTTTTACCACCCCCAAATCAATATTTCTGAAAGCAGTTTTTTTCTCTGCAATGCTTAAGGCTGATTAGAACCATAATTTCTGGTTCTGAGATCTAAGATAGTCACAGAACTAGAAGAAAAACATCAACATGATCGTATATTGTTCAGCCAAGGCAAAATTCCCGGGCAAGATGTGGTCAATAGAATATAACTAAGTAGCCATGTAGATAAGGCAGCTAAACCTCGAAGCCTCTACGAAGCTAAAGAATCAGGAAAGCCCACTAACTCATCCTAAGTTAGGCGTTATGGTGTAGACAGGGAGACAGTAACGGACCACTGTGAGCTCTTGCACAGTCTTTCACCCGGGATCCTGGGAACTTAAAGAAACAAAAATGCAAGCAAAACAAAAGCATTTACTGAATAAATGATAAGGTTGTCAGGAAGAATCAATGAGATAATGCATGTCTAGCCCAAAATGGAATAACAAGTGGTATTAGTTCATTTGGACTCTTTTCGTTTTAGGGATCCTTTGGAGGAAATACATGAATCAGTGAGCTGTTGGATGGTCAGCCTCTGGATCTTCTGGCTCCCATTAGTTCTGCCTGGATGGTTAGCTATTCTGCTGTTGCTTTTGAAAATTTTAGGATTACAAAACTACTCACGCAAATGGAGGAACTTTTAATTCACAGAACTCTGATGATCCTAGTTCACAGATTACTCCCTATGTGTCAGGCACTATTCTAAGCACTTTGCATTTTAATTTATTTAGTATTAGTGCCCCTGTGTGTGGACAGCATGTCTGCGTTACGTCCGTTAAATCGTTCTTTGTTTAGCACTGTTATCTGTGAATCTCCATGCAGGAGTGCCAGACACAAGGTGCTACCAGAACACAGAACAAGTCAAGGCTTTTGTTTAGGAGGAGGAAAGCTAGCACACTGGACATTTTACAGAGGGGGAAAAAAAGAGTTAGGCCTTTGCTCAATTTTGCCCACAAATTGCAACAATTCTGTTGCCAGAGTGAAGCAATAGGTTATGGAGATATTTATTCAATGGAAAGACTTGGCAAAAGCAGAATAAGTTCCATGAAGCTTAAATAACATTAGGGAAATAACAAAACATAATTTAGAAAAGACCATGTAACCGATGCTCTGGCTCACAAAGCAAGCAGTCTCACATACATGCAGGGCCAGAATCAGACTCCCCACCTGAATGGTCAACCTGAGAGTGATTATGGCACCGACTGCAAGAAAGAAGCCTGTGGCTATCAAATATGTAATGGGTTACAGAGCCCAGAAACACCAGAAATGAGTGCAGCCTGCTTGTGGGAGGGGAACATGTAATTCAGTTAAGGTCCGCGGAGTGCTTCTATTTGAGATGTAGAGTGAACTTGTAGGTCCTGCAGTCCCCTGAATGGCTGTGCTCCCTGGGGCTGCCTCCTTGAACTTGTGCCACAGAGAAACAAGTTTACTACAGCCTCCTGTGAGATTATAAAATTCTGCTTACTCTTTGGGTATATGTGTTTTACAGTTTGGTGCCTATGAAAATACCTTTGAAGTACAAAAACACAGACTCCAGTCACCACTTGGGTATTCCTAATTAGTTTCACAAATTTCAACAATGTACTCGGCGGTATTCAAAAGACTGAATCCTTTATTTCATTTCTCAGACAGACAGGCACATGCAGTGTCATTAGGGATGGGATCGGGTTCCATTCCCAGCAACAGAAGAAAAGTCTCCATAAGAAGTCATGTAGAGGAGAAACATTTTGATTCTCCATCAACAGCAGTCGATGCTAAAACAGTGTATAACATAGCTCCATGTCAAACGTTTCAAACCAACGGGAAAGAGAAAGCTGACTACTACAGCTTATGGGGGTCTCCGTGTCCAGGGTCACTCGGTTGAAAATCTGAACTGGTGTTAGAAGGGCATTCTTTCCTGTTGCTGCTACAGGGGGCTGCCCATTGCCCCTAGGACATTATGCATCTAAGAGCCACCTCCTGCCATGTAGTGTTTCTAGTTTCCAGAACTAAGCAGAAGGGATATAGCAAACAGGGGCCTTTTACTCAGAAATATTTGTGGTTTTGTAGGTAAGCAAAGAACTATAAAGATGTGGGAGTTTGGGGAATTTTTTTCTATTTGTTATGCTGAGATAAAATCTGGGGAAATGCCCCAGGTATTTTAGAGAACTGGCTTCATTTGTGGGGAACTCAGAAAATTTACAATTCACAAATTACATTGAATAATTATATTAAATATAAAGGTTTTTTTCCTTATGCTCTTTTCATTTGAAGTTTAAACTTGCTGGCTCTTATCTGGTTCAAATACTCATGCCTTTTCAGTCAACTGTCAGCATTTAAGGAGTGTGGGGTGTTAACCCATCACCAGGGGCTCATGCCACTTCTGCCCACCGCAGGCAGGTGGTCTCACTGCCTCCTCTCCACAAGTGGCACCCAGTAGCTCAGCCTGACAGGAGGAGGAAGGATTCTGAACGCTGCTGAAAAGAGAGAAACTGTAAGTCTGAGCTAGAGCAGACTTTCCCTGTTGTTAATTAGCATGCACAGACCTCAGCCTGACTGCCCCCTACTTTCAGCTCAGCTGTAGCTCTCACTCTGCAAGTAGCTTGGCTCAGCCTCTCCAAAGTCTGAGCTAAAATGCCTTTTTAGATTCTAAGGTTCCAAAAATCAGCTACGCTGTCAATTACCATAAAAGCAACTGCTTGGCAGTAACAACGTATTAAACCCGCCAAAAGAGCGTGTTTTAAGACCAAAAAAGAAAAGGAAAGAAAAAAAGAGGTGTGTAGTTAGGAAAATCTTGAACGCTGTAAAACCCAAAGCATGTTGAAACTTACGGTGGGGCTATCCTCGGTTTGGACATGTGTTTTCTCATACAGTTAAGCAGAGAAACAATTATACAGAAAATTCAGGTCTGCTGAAACTCAAGATGGGTAAGCACAAAGCTCTGTGGGCAAAGTGTCCACTTAAGTTTGATAAACGCCGATTTAGAAACACATTAATTCTGATATATATTTCTGAAATAAGAGTTAGAGTCATAAAAAGAGACAAAAATATGGCCAAATCTTTTGCTCTGAGGTTTTTTTTCAAATTTAATCAATAAGCCCTAAAGTTAGGAATGTTTTTAAATTCTTCTCAAAGTATTACTCATACCACTAAAATAGAAGTAAAATTAAGTGTGATTAAGAATATGCATATTTTTAATTAAATGGTCTAAAAGTCATATAATATGCTTCCCTAAGTTACACTAGAGAGAGTCAGAGCTCCAGATGCTTGGCAACTGCGTTTCCTCACACTTGGGTCAGTTTGGGGCCGTGACTGGTGACAGCAGGTGTGGACAGCCAGGGCTTTGGTGTGTTTCTGATCTCAGAGGTCCCAAGAGCCCCCAAGACAACAGATCAGTTTCTGGAGTAATTACATACTTGGAACAAGTGAGATTAAAAACAAGACTTGGTGAGGAGAGCAGATACAAAACCTTGCTGACGATTCTGAGAGACCGATTGCTCCAAATTTTAGGACCTTATGCAAGTGGACTGAGCCGGGCTCTCGGCTCCCTTCACCACGGCTTCTCTCTCTACCGCCACCCACAATAGACCCAGCCTGGGCGCGCACACACCCACGGATTGGATCCACTGTGGCTCTCTGCTCCGTTCCTTTTAAACACAGCACATGTTTTTCTCTAACAGGAAAATGCAGGTTCACTGCAGAAATCTGGGGAAGAGTGTTAAAGAAAAAATAAAGGACTTAGGGATACCTGATATTTACATTTAGATATATGGCCT